TGAACACAGTCCACTACTATGTGAATGGATGCCGATAGCATATCCAATACCGACTCATATCACATTTGTAGCCCTGTTTACTAATGCAAATGCATCCGCGGACCCGAACCTGTCACAGACACCGATATGGTATTGACGCCGACATGACATTGACGCCGACATTCTGCAGACGCCGAGACCGTATTAGAATCCCCAACATGCTACTAACACATTATCATGATTGGCTATTATATTTGTAGTGTACTTGTGAATGCCATAGTGACCACCAACGCCGACAGCATAGCCCACTGCTCAGAGCCTTAATATTACTTCATTACTATTATTGTAGTAAATTGTACTTATAATGTAGCATCCGCGGACGCGACCACTCCAGCTGTCCGCGGATGTCCGCTGGACCGAGCATGTCGGCGCAATTGGCCATCCGTGCTACCGAGCATCTCCATCGGCGTCCCCTGCATACCCTGTGCCGCGCGGGTTTTTCCTAAGTGAAAAAGTTATCGATCGTATACCCTAGCGTGAAAGGCGTATACATACGACGATTCCTTAACATGTCACGTATATCTGATTGTTTATCCCAACGTGCGCGATCCGGGAACAGATTATCGAGGTTACCGAATTTCCTGTATATAGGATAGGTCCAAGTTCTAAATATGAACGCCTCAAAGCCAGAAAGAACTTACCGCGTGATTACTGACTCGTTATCAGCATCGTGTGTCTCCCAGATATCTATGATCTTTTCGACCCAACCCTTGTGGGAGATCAAGATGGAGAAAAGCCGCAGCGTCAACTTCAAGTCCTGTGAGAGATATGGTCGGTCTGTTGGTACCGAGATCCCCGGTATCCAGTAAGAAGGCCAGCGAAATAATGCGCTGAGAGCCTCCACCGAATCGAGCCCTATATGGGTCTCGGGGTAGTATTCAGGCCGCTCGAGCATGGTACACTCGAGTAGGAGGCTGGTAATCTCCGGCCTGCATTCGAGGACTTCAATCCATAGCTTGGAGAGTGACGGTGGAGGGATAGCGATGAGGCGGTGCGCGGCCTCCATGGCGTAGCGTTGTATGCGACCGCAAAGACGCGACACCATCCATCTACGGGATCTAGCGCTGAGGTACCAATCCCCTAGCTCCTTGTTGTTTCTTGAGTCTCTGAAATCGTCTTCAAACCAGCTCTGCCAGAGAGTAGTCTCATCGTTTAGCTGCTCGGAATCCAAGGCTGGGTCGCGGAGAGCGGCGGTGAAAAGAACGCAAAGGAGCTTCGCCGTCGTCGATGGGGGTACTTTGCGAGGAATCAGGGTTCTTTCTGACAGGCTTGCCAGCATCCTCGTTGCTGTCAACCTCCTGATTAAAAGTCTAGCGTTCATGTTCTAGCATCAACAGATCCGTCAGTCCACGCTCCAGAAACTGAGTTGCACGACCAAATCCCGAGCGTGTAAGACAGAGAGATGACTCACGCAAAAGACCACATCGAGAACCCCGTGCTTGATCAGGTCATGGATAGCCGTCCCTCGTTGTTCGATAAGCCTAATTGACGGGACCACAGCTTCGAGTAGATTCATCGCCTGGAAGGGCGGCATAAGACGAGGAAAAGATTCCTCGTTCCAAGTCTCAGGAGTAACCAACCCAGTTTTCTCTTTTGCCAGGGTTACGAGTGGACCAGCCATGCCTGCTTGTATGCATGTTTGGACGAAGGTGTCGTTGGGTCCTTCCTTTGTACTAGCCATACGTCTCGCTACGGCGAATCTGGCGAGTAGGGATTCCTGAAGCGTCGCAGTCAAACGTCTGAAATCCATGGAGAAAGGAACAGAAACTCACCAGAAAGCACCATCTGAAGACCGTGTCGACGTTTGGGTCGACGAGCTTGGGGAAGTTCTCAGCGAGATAGTGGGATAGGCTCGATTCCGGCTGGGTGAAAGCCTGGTCGATTTGAGATCTCGTGGTTGAGATGAATTCTTCTCTGGAGTAGCAAGGCTTGGTGTTGCTCATGGTAGATTGATAGACGGTTGCTCCAAAGCAACGCTGGAGGTCGAACGTACCAGCGACACAACGTGATCTGGGGGCGCGGGGTATCGGCTAACGCCGACCCCTGAGCTTCAATGTTTCGATTTTCTGAACTTTCAATGCTATGGTGCCAGTTCAAACAGATATTTTCGAGCGCTTTGGTGACGAAAACTTCAGAAATACGGTGAAACCATAGGTCCGGTGCCAGCCGGACTTGGGAGCGTCCGGCGAGGTCGCTCGCGGTTATGGGGTCCAACGAAAAGTCAACCACATGTGATCTCCGCGCGTCGCGCGGCACACGAGATACCCCTGTATTTTGCTTAGACGCCCATTCTGTTATCTACCACCTTCACGCTTACTCGCCTATATTACTATCTACCACCTTCGCGCTATGATCTTGAGCGACGTGCTACAACAAAACCCTGAGCTCGACCGGTTCGAGCTCAACGAAATACTCGACTTCATCAGGGCGGCGTGCGAGGTCCGCGATGATATTGCAGGTGTTCAGCATACAACACTCAACACTGAGTCCACCCACGCACCAACGTATCTTCCTCATATCCACCAAGTCTTTATATCCCGCTCTGCTTCTATCCAGCTCCGGATGGTGCCCGTTCTTTGGCGAGCACTCAGAGATCACGTCTGGAACATGCCGCGTCTGTTTGAGCGGCAACAGGATTTAGTTAGCCGTTTCGAGGAGTGGGGATGGGACCTGGGCATAAGTAAGTGTCATCCTTCTTATTGTGATACTATCTGACATTTGTTAGCTCTGTGGACGCTCTGTCCACCGTCACGAAAGTGCGACAACCCGCAATGCCCCAATGTTGACCGTGACATCGAGATGCGCACTATAGACGTGCACGATGCAGTCCTTTTCACCAAGTCCTTCGGCCCTCAGAGCGCCAAGCAGCTCTCGTTCACATGTCAAGGTATGTAACTGCTCACTTCATACAACGAATAGCTAACTTACACGACCACTAGCATGCAGGCGAAACTATCGTCACAACTACTTCGTTCACAACAACTCCAAGACCCGAACATACTATATCGACCTGCCCGATCACATTCAAGTCGGAGAACATCACTTCGCTGAGACAGAGCTGGTAAAGGAGTGGACGGACAGTATGGTCGTCAGCCAGTATGCACCATTGTCTCTCTGACATTACCCGCCATCTAACAACTCTCTAGTACTTCGGCCACAAATCTTGCTACAGCCTACGAGTTGTCACGCACCCGCCACCTCGACTTGTACTACTCTCGGCCCCGTGTCTCCCACACCGACGCCAAGCTACCCTATAGCGGTATTCTTAGTGCCGAGCAGGTCTGGCATGGGTTTGTCATCCTCGCACTCCTCCGAAACTACAGAGTTCGCCATGCTCCTCTCTCCGTTCCGCATGATGGCAGTCAACGCGCCCGGTTCGAGGAAGCGATGAAGCAACAAAACGAGCGGGTTGTCAAGCATGGCCAGCCCGAGATAACGCACTACTGCGACGCATGCATGCGTGTATTCCGCGTGTGGAATGAAGCTGGTGAATATGAGCTCTGTATGTTCTCTTCTACATCTATTCTGTCTATTCTCGCTAATTCCCTCAAGACAAAACCCAGGTAGTCGTTGCAGATGGGCTGACAATCGGCCACCCATGTTGCAAGGACTTTCGATGCCCCGATCCCCTTCAGACCGCGCACGACCATTTCTGTAAGCGTCACTACAATCTACACAACATTTGCTACGTCAAGACCTGCGACCAGCCGTCTACAACTACCGCTACAACATCGAAGACATGCACACGAGCGGATCATCAAGAAATGGAGCGGCAGACTCGCGAGCGCACGACTGCCATGTTTGCGTTGACTCGCAAGCGTGAGGCCCAGAAAAGGCTCGCTCGCACTGCCGACTCGACTGCCCCCACCGCAGCTGATCTTGAGTTCGACGACGCAGAGGAGTGGTACGAGCCCGACGATGCTGGAAATCTCTCCCAGCGTATCAACACCCGCCCAGTTAATGTTGGAGTGTCCGACGAGGTTGCATCGCAGGACCAGCGTGCCTGCCCAGGCAAGACACCACGTGCGCAGAAGATTATGCTCGCCCGACGCCGTACCGCCTGCGAGGTCACATACGTTAGGCCGTGTGGTATAATAGTAGGCCGAGCTACTATGTTTGGTGCTGAAGCCGTATCCAATGTTCTCGTACGTGTTTTAATCTGTCTCTTGGTTTTGTATGCTGATTTTCTTTCCACTGCTTCTAGGACATGGGGGAGACGCTCTTCACCGTCCCCGGCGCGCGTAAACCTGAGCATTTCATCTACGACACTGCCTGTGATGCCCACCGACAAGCACAGAACCGCCAGAGCAACTTCTGGAAGGGCACTGGTATGTGCGTCGACGTATGGCACCTCAAGAATAAACACAAGACTACTCACGACTACTGCCGCATCAACTGCAACCCTGCAAACTATCCAGAGCTCAAGACACCCGACGGCAAAGGTTGGTACTTCAATACGTCCGTTGCCGAGCAAGTAAACGTGTGGCTCGGAGGTTATCAGGCTATAGTTCGAGAGATGCTCCCGACGAAGTTTAATTTTTTTCTTGATGAGATGGTCCGCCTCAGGAACATCAACACTATTGAGTCTCTCAAGCGTAAGGATTTAGTACCTTCATACCATCCTGTTGAATCATAGCTTTGTACTCGTGTTTAAATTAATAATGTATTATGTGACAGTCTCTCGAGCACGTTGTGAACATGCATGGGCTAGGATAGATCTTATTGTTGCTGTACTCATGCTTGCACGTGAAACATGCAAAAGATGTGAAGATAAAACAAAACGAAGTACAGTGAAAGTACAATAGAAAGTAACTAGCTGTTGGTATTGTCAACATCAATGACCTCCGAGTCTGGTCCCCGCAGCCTAACTGCATGGGTCACAAAATCCCATAAGCCGAGGTTAGTACGGCCACCAAGAACCATGTTATCGCGGAATGCCTGCGGTACCTGGTTCCACCGCTTCTTGGCATCACTAAACGTCTGCTTGACATAGCGAACACCATAGATAGCCTCAAAACGGGCGGTGGTTGTCATCCAGGCAAAGCGCAGGTCCTTCATCTGCTCGAAACCGTCGATAATGTCAATGGCAGGCCAACCATTGGGCCACGGTTTTTTCGAGCGTCCTCCTCCAGGGGTGACAGTCTGAGGCTCGGGAAGTCGACGAGGTGATGGGCGGTCTAGCGACGGTGTGGGGGAGGGGGTGTCGTCATCAGATAGTGTGATGGTAGGTGAGATAGTGCCGAAATCATTGCGCCTGGAGTAGCCGGCGTCGACGGCAATGTCTGCGAGCAGTTTGTGAACGCATATGGGGGACGACGAGGGATCGCGCGTGGACATGCCCGAGCTAGACTCGCTTGAAGATGCTTGACTTGACGGCGGGAGATCGTCGAGCTTGCGTCGCTTGCTGGAGCTGTCGGTAGGGATCGAGAACGTCAAGACAGCAGAGGAAGACGATGAGGACGAGGACGAGGACGTCCACTCTGGGTGGGCCGTACGCTTTGCCTGCTTCGCATCCTGACGACGAAGCTGACGTTGTCGAGGTAGATCCAACTTCGCATTTGTGGGGAGAGTGTTCTGTCGCTCCTCCATGATAGCATCGAAGTTCTTGCAGCTAGTGAGCCCGGCACGACGCAAGAAAAGATAGCCGCTGGGCTTGATCGTGAAACGATGGCGTTGACTGCAGCCTTTCCAGACACTGGTGTTCCCATCCCAGTACTCGAGCGCTGAGAGGTCTTCGCCACTGAGCTTTTGCAAGGCTGCCAAGTGCGAATACCGAGGAGCGTCTTCCTGCATAGAAAACAAAGGGAAGAAGGGCACCTCAGAGTGCTCATCGCCGGTGTCCTGTAGTGTTCGTAGAATGCACCTATCCTCCTGTCGTACAACGTGATTAGTGACCGTGTTTAAAATCCGTAAAAATGTTGTATGTACCTTGTCCCAGAAATATGTGTCAAACTCGCGCTTGCCAGCCCGAGTTCGATTGTGATACTCCTTCTCATCGCACCTGAATCGAACGTGTCCCTCATGCGAGTTCTCCCAGTTCTTTCTCCATAGCTTGTTGAGGTGATCCGTGTGCTGAGGGCGGTTCTCTTCGTGTTCAGGGGTGTAGACGTCAACAAGGATACCACTAGAGGGAGGAACGGAGCGAATTGGGATGATGGTGGCATCGAGGAAGGAGTAATCATCGTGGTCATCAAGCGGCGGGGGGTCAAACAGGTCTGGTGCATCATCGTTGGGAGCATCAAGCACTGTAAGCAATAAACCGTCAGCATCAAGCGTCAGGGAGTCGAGTGAGAACAAACCTATCGTGTCCTCGTTGGGAGCGTCAAGCGCCGTAAACGAGAGAGGGTCCCGAGGAGGAGAGACCGCGCTGGCGACACTAGGGACTGAGAGAGGGACTGAGGGTCCAGATGCTGAGGACGAAGAGACATCCTGTGGGCGGGGAAGGTTCTCGCTGGAGAGACGAGTCCTTTGCCGGCTAGTCAGGTGCTCTAGCTGGTGCTTCGTGGACTGACACCCGCCCGCAAGGATACAATGGAATTTGCACATTGTACGCCGGCAGGGAACACCCTTCGAAGGTGTGCTCCTGTTACATCCAGGGTGGGCGCATTTGGCAGTGTAAGGCGGGGGCTGAGACTGAGGCAAGGGAGCAGGCTGAGATAGCGGCGGAGGATGAGGCAAAGAGGGAGGCTGCGTGTAGGGAGGTGGCTGCGTCAATGATAACGAGTAAGAAGGAAGGGTGTTGGTAGGTTGAATAGGGTACGAATGAGCTGGGAGCACCCAGTCGGAGGGCTGTGAAGAAGGCCCAGCCATTGCAGGAGCTGAGATTGAGAACGTGTGAGATGGTAGCCCACCTGAAGAGTCGGGGAACGAAGGGGGGATATTGTCGAGCTGTAGCAAACTTGCCGACGAGAGCAACGTTGAGGCCAGAGGGTGCTGAGCTGGTGAGGACGAGGGTGTGCTTGGAACGGACTCGACTGGACCATCCCCCAGCACTCCGGGCGGCTTGATGCCTAGCGCCCAGAAGAACCAGAAAGTGCCTCGCCGAGGAGGAGTACCAGGCCTAGGGGCATGGCAATGGCTGAAGCACTGACAACACGAGAAAAGAGGTGAGCGATAGCAAATAAGGAGAAGAAAGCAACAGGACTTACATTAACGTACCACTGATCCTTGTGCGGCCCGTTCTTGGCCTTCTTGGGTGTAAGGAGTGTTCGCCGGCCCTGCGTCAAGCAGTCAGGGCAAACGACCTTGCCGTTCTCCATGGTGAATCCATGCCCATGACAAGCTGCCACCTGCGGCGTGGTCGTGTGGGTGTGAGTGTTGGTGCACATGGTCAAAGTGGAGGCTGGGTGCGGGGTGCCGCAAGGGTGTAGAGAAAGAGGATGATGAGGTTTCGCGCTGAGATTGAGGACGAGAGGAGGTGCTCTATTTAAGTTACCGAGGTACTGTACAGTTGACGAACAGGTATGGGTTTGGTATTCTAGCTGGCGCAGCGCGGCGCGAAACGGTCACGTGTATTAACTTTCTGTGGACCCCGAGTCCGCGTGCGACCCAGGCACCGGACGCCGGACCACTTCAGTCGCCGGACATCTCATTCCTCCACAGCCCTCGAAAACTTAAGCGATTGAACATGAACGTATTTCCAATATTGTAGTTGTTCAGTCGATCGCGTCCTTTCTTGACGTTCTTGTTGACGTCTGTCCCTGCGGAGTCTAAATCTACCGACACCGCCACAGCTTAGTCAACGAACCGCGCGTTTGAGCGGACCCGCGTCTCCCAAATTTCGTGCTGCTCGTCGACTCAGACGACCACGACAACTCACATCCACCCTCCCATCCACTTTTTCTTCTCCTTTTTTCTTTCTCTCTCTTTCATCTTTATATAGAGCATGTCAGGCGGCGGACGACCAGCGGGCAAGCCCGACCTTTCAGGCTACAACTATGGCGCCATCTCCTCCCTCGTTCTCACCGCCGACCGCTCTGCCCTCCCCCGGAGAGACAAGGAACCGGATGGTGCACCCACATCCCTTGCAGGTCGCATAGACCCCCGCGAGATGGGCTCTCGCGTTCAGCGCGCAGCACCCAAGGACCTCGACAAAAAGAAGAAGAAGGCAGCCGCCGAGCGCTCAGACGCCCAGCAGGCCGAGCGACGCAAACGCCCAGAGCCCGGAGCAGGTGGCTTTGGGTACACAGACATCATCGAGGCCACGCAGGATGTCGAGGGTCTCACCTACCGACCACGCACGGCCGAGACGAGGGAGGTCTACGAGATGATGCTCTCCGTCGTCCACCAGGCTCTCGGCGACCAGGCCCAGGACGTCGTCCGCAGTGCGACGGACACGGTGCTCGAGTCGCTCAAGAACGAGAACATGAAGGACTTCGACAAGAAGCGCGAGGTCGAGGACGTCCTCGGCTCCCTGCCCAATGACACTTTCAGCCAGCTCGTCGCACTCTCGAAGAAAGTTACCGACTACGCCGACGAAGATGAGAGGATGGCTGACCCTGACATGGAGCGCAAGGACGCGGAGATAGACGATGAGGTGGGAGTGGCGGTGGTGTTTGACGAGGAGGAGCAGGAGGAAGAGGAAGACGAAGGGTTCGAGGTGCGCGAGGAGTCAGACGACGAGGATGAAGAAGCGGCAGAGGGCCAGGAAGAGGAGGGTGCTCCCGAAGACGAGGAGAATGATGAAGAGCTCGTCATCGGCGCCGACTCCTCCCGCGGTGTCAAGACCAAGGCCGACAAGGACATTGTCTCCCCGCACGCCATCGACGGTTTCTGGGTCCAGCGCCAGATATCCGAAATCTACCCCGACCCGGTCACCGCCGCGGACAAGGCCCAGGCAGTGCTCACCATCCTCGGCTCGGAGAGCAGCCTGCGCGACTGCGAGAACGAGCTCATGGAGCTGTTCGAGTACCAGTCGTTCGACGTCATCACGCGCTTCCTCAAAAACCGCGACGTGATCGTGTGGTGCACCAAGCTCATGCGTAGCGACGCAGACGAGCGTGTCAATGTCGAGGTGGCCATGCGCGAGAAGGGCGTCGGCTGGATCCTCCGCGAGCTCGCCGGGAACCGTGGCGGGAAGAAGACCTCCACCGGCGCAGCTGGCGACGCGATGGACGTCGACACCGCCGATGCCGCGGCAGCGAAGCCTGTTCCCAAGACCGCGACGCTCGCCCCCGGATCAACCGTCACGCCTAAGAGAACGGTCGACCTCGAGAGCATGGCGTTTTCCCAGGGCGGACACCTCATGTCGAACAAGAAGTGCAAGCTCCCCGACGGCTCGTTCAAGCGCTCGCGCAAAGGCTTCGAGGAGATACACGTGCCCGCGCCGAAGAAGAAGGATGGCGGTGACGACGAGCGGGTGCCTGTGACGGAGCTTCCGGAGTGGGTAAGGCCGGCGTTCACTATCCCTACGTTCAACCGGATGCAGAGTAAGCTGTTCCCCGTCGCGTTCGGTTCGGACGAGCCGCTGCTGCTTTGCGCGCCTACGGGTGCGGGTAAGGTCAGTACCTCCATTTGTTGTCATCTTTGGGCGCTGGCTGACGGTTTTTTTTCTAGACCAACGTTGCTATGCTCACGATTCTCAACGAGCTCGCCAAACACCGCAACGACGATGGCTCGTTTGCGCTCGACGAGTTCAAGTGCGTTTATGTTGCCCCCATGAAGGCCCTTGTGCAGGAGATGGTCGGCAACTTCTCGCAGCGACTCGGCATCTTCGGCATGAAAGTCGGCGAGCTCACCGGCGACTCCCAGATGACGAAGCAGCAAATTGCGGAGACGCAAGTTATCGTCACGACGCCGGAGAAGTGGGACGTCATCACACGCAAGAGCACCGATACTTCGTATACGAACATTGTCCGTCTCATCATCATTGACGAGATCCATCTGCTGCACGACGAGCGCGGCCCCGTGCTCGAGAGCTTGGTCGCACGTACGGTCAGACGCATGGAGCAGACGGGCGACTACGTCCGGCTGGTTGGTCTCTCGGCGACACTGCCGAACTACCAGGACGTCGCCGCCTTCCTGCGTGTTGACCCCGCCAAGGGCCTCTTCTACTTCGATGCGTCATTCCGCCCCTGTCCTTTGCAGCAGCAGTTCATCGGTGTGACGGAGAAGAAGGCGATCAAGCGGTATCAGGTCATGAACGAGGTGTGCTACGAGAAGGTGCTCGACCAGGCGGGCAAGAACCAGACGCTCGTGTTCGTGCATTCCCGCAAGGAGACGGCCAAGACAGCGCGGTTTATCCGCGACATGGCGATGGAGAAGGAGACGATCACCCAGTTCGTGCGCGCGGACAGCGCGACGCGGGAGATCCTCACAGAGGAGGCGTCGAACGTCAAGGATCCGAACCTGCGCGACCTCTTGCCGTTCGGATTCGCGATCCACCACGCGGGTATGAGTCGCGAGGACCGCGGGCTCGTCGAGGAGCTGTTCGCAGACGGCGCGGTGCAGGTGCTCGTGTGTACCGCTACGCTCGCGTGGGGCGTCAATCTCCCCGCGCACACGGTCATCATCAAGGGGACGCAGATCTACAACCCCGAGAAGGGCCGCTGGGTTGAGCTGTCGTCGCAGGACGTGCTGCAGATGCTCGGACGCGCGGGGCGGCCGCAGTACGACACGTTCGGCGAGGGCATTATTATCACCAACCATGGGGAGCTGCAGTATTACCTCAGCTTGATGAACCAGCAGCTGCCGATCGAGAGTCAGTTTGTGAGTAAGCTGGCGGATAATCTCAATGCGGAGGTTGTACTCGGGACGGTGAGGAATCGGGATGAAGCGGTGCAGTGGCTGGGGTATACCTATTTGTACGTTTTCCTTGTTTTTATCTTCTGGTTGAGGCAGCGGCTGACGTCGTTGCAGGTACGTTCGCATGCTACGCGAGCCTGGACTCTACAGTGTCGGTGTCGACTATCAGGAGGACGACCCGGGCCTCATCCAGAAGCGCGCGGATATCATCCATACAGCGGCGGCGCTCCTTGAGAAGTGCCATCTCCTTAAGTACGAGCGCTCAACTGGCCGCTTCCAGAGCACGGAGCTCGGGCGCATCGCGTCGCACTACTACGTCGTGCACTCGTCAATGCAGACGTACAACCAGCACCTCCGGCCCTCTATGTCTACTCTCGACCTCTTCCGTGTCTTCGCGCTCTCGAACGAGTTCAAGTTGTTGCCCGTGCGCCAGGAAGAAAAGCTCGAACTCGGCAAGCTGCTCGAGCGCGTGCCCATCCCCGTCAAGGAGAGCGTCGACGAGCCTGCAGCCAAGATCAACGTGCTCCTCCAGGCCTATATCTCACAGCTCAAGCTCGAAGGCTTTGCACTCGTCGCTGATATGGTGTACGTCACGCAATCCGCGGGGCGTATCCTCCGCGCGATGTTCGAGATCTGTCTCAAGCGCGGCTGGGCTGTCCCCGCTCGTGCGTGCTTGGATCTGTGCAAGATGGTTGAGAAGCGGATGTGGGGGTCTATGACGCCGCTCCGGCAGTTCAAGGGTGTGCCCGCGGACGTGGTGCGCAAGGCGGAGGGCAAGCAGTTCCCGTGGTACCGGTACTTTGACCTCACACCGCCCGAGATCGGGGAGCTCATTGGCCTTCCGAACGCGGGGAGACTTGTGCATCGGCTGGTGCACTCGTTCCCGAAGCTGCAGCTGCAGGCGCAGGTACAACCGATTACGCGGTCTCTGTTGCGGATCGACCTGTCGATCACGCCCGACTTCAGGTGGGACGAGAAGATCCACGGTGGAGCGGAGACGTTCCAGATTATGGTCGAGGACGTGGACGGCGAGATCGTGCTGTTCCACGACTCGTTCATCCTCCTGCAGCGCTACGCGGAGGACGAGCACAACGTCACCATCACCGTGCCCATGTTCGAGCCTGCTCCGCCGAACTACTACATCTCAGTCGTCTCGGACCGGTGGTTGCACGCGGAGACGCGTCTGCCGATTTCGTTCCAGTATCTCATTTTACCCGAGAAATTCCCGCCCCCGACACCGCTGTTGGAGCTGCAGCCGCTCCCGCTGAGCGCGCTGCACAACAAGGAGTTCGAGACGATCTACGGCGGCAGCGGGCCGAGCAGTATCGAGACGTTTAACAAGATCCAGACGCAGGTGTTCCAGGCTCTCTATACGTCGGACGAGAACGTGTTCATCGGCGCTCCTACCGGGTCGGGCAAGACGATCTGCGCGGAGTTTGCACTGTTGAGGCTGTGGAGCAAGCGCGGCGAGGAGGGGCAGCGCCGGGCGGTGTGCATCGAGCCGTATCAGGAGATGGTGGATATGCGCACGCAGGAGTGGAGGCGTAAATTTGGGAGCGTGCAGGGCGGGAAGGAGGTGGTGAGCTTGACTGGGGAGGCGAGTGCGGATCTGAGGCTGCTCGAGAAGGGGGATGTGATTGTGTGTACACCAGCTCAGGTGCGTTTTCGTCGTCGTCTTCGTCGTTTAGTGGTGGGTGATGTTGACGGTACCTTGCTTTGTTACAGTGGGATGTGCTCTCGCGGAGATGGAGGCAGCGCAAGAACGTGCAGAATATTGGCCTACTTATTGCGGACGAGGTTCAGCTCGTCGGTGGCGAGGTCGGTCCCACGTACGAGGTCATCATTTCACGCACGCGGTATGTCAGCGCGCAGACCGACATCAAAACCCGTGTTGTCGCGTGCGGTGTCTCGCTTGCGAACGCAAGAGACTTGGGCGAATGGATGGGTGCACCGTCGCATGCTATCTTCAACTTCTCGCCAAGGTACGCTCTTGTCATATTCTGCTCCTGTTACAGCTGCTCATGACGATTTCGCTTCACAGCTCACGCCCGCTTGATATGGATATTCATCTCCAAAGCTTCTCCATTCCCCATTTCCCCTCGCTCATGATCGCCATGTCAAAACCCGCGTACCTTGCCATCAACGAGTACGCGCCTACGAAGCCCACCATCGTCTTCGTACCTTCAAGGCGCCAGTGCCGCCTCACGGTCGACGACCTCCTTACGCACTGCAGTGCAGATGACGATGCGGACCGCTTCCTTAACATCGAGCTCGCGGACCTCCAGCCTCACTTGGATCACGTCTCGGACAAGGGCCTCGCTGAGGTGCTTGCTCACGGCATTGGGTACTATCACGAGGCTCTCGACGCGCAGGACAAGCGCATCGTCGAGCGGCTGTTCCAGTCTGGTGCCATTCAGGTACTCGTTGCGTCCAAGGACACGGCATGGAGCCTCCCCGTTGCCTGCTACATGGTTATCATCATGGGCGTGCAGTACTACGAAGGCAAGGAGCACCGCTACGTCGACTACCCGGTGATGGATGTGTTGCAGATGATGGGCCGTGCGTGCCGCCCGCGCGAGGACGACCGGAGCCGCTGCGTGTTGATGACGCAGCAGACGCGGAAAGAGTTCTACAAGAAGTTCTTGAGCGAGGGGCTGCCGATCGAGAGTCATCTCTCGACGCACATGTTGCACGATTACTTCTTGGCGGAGATCGCGGTCAAGACGATCGAGAACAAGCAAGATGCGATGGTGGGTTTTCCTCCCTTTCATACGGCATTGCCAACGTCGAGGTGGCTTGGTGCTAATTTATATTCGTTCAGGATATTCTCACTTGGACGTACTTCTATCGTCGTATGACCCAGAACCCCAACTACTACAACCTGCACAACGTCAGCCACCAGCATCTGTCCGATCATCTGTCGGAACTCGTCGAGAACACGTTGCAAGACCTGGTTAACTCCAAGTGTATCTCGATTGGTGAGTCTCTTCGACGTGTACTCGTCTGGCATAGCTTGCTGACAGTTGTACCTACAGAGGACGAGATGGACGTGTCCCCACTCAATCTCGGCATGATCGCTGCTTACTACAATATCTCTTGTGAGTTCTTTACAGGCCGACGTATATCGGCTGGATTCGCTAACATGCCCTTCACTAGACGTCACTGTCGAGGTTTACACCCTCTCACTCAAGGAACGTACGAAACTCAAGGGTCTCCTCGAGGTCGTCTCTTCCTCCGCCGAATTCGAGACCATCCCCATCCGCCGCCACGAGGACGTACTCCTCCGTCGCATCTACGACCGTGTTCCCGTCAAGCTTGACCGAGCCGATTTCGAGGCTCCGCACTTCAAGACCTTCCTTCTCCTCCAAGCACATTTCTCGCGTCTGCAGCTCCCGCCAGACCTTGCCGCAGATCAGGCGCTTGTGCTCGAGAAGGTGCTCAACCTCCTGAGCGCATGTGTGGATGTGATGAGCAGCAACGCATGGCTGAATGCACTTGGCGCGATGGACTTGTCGCAGATGTGCGTGCAGGCGATGTGGGAGACGGATTCGCCGTTGAAGCAAATACCTCATTTCGAGCCGGACGTCGTCAAGCGGTGCAGGGATGCGGGTGTCGAGTCCGTATACGACATCATGGAGATGGAAGACGACGATCGGACGAAGCTATTGCAAATGGACTCCCGGCAGATGTAAGTCTTTTTCGTCTGTGAGATAAAGTATATACTAACTAACAATCGTATGACAGGCGTGACGTTGCGACCTTCGTCAACTCGTACCCAACGCTCGACGTCTCCTTCGAGCTCGCCAAGGGCGAGTACACCGCCGGTGCACCGATTATCATGCAGGTTGCTCTGTCGCGCGATGCGGACGAAGATGACCCCGACGACTCGGCTCAGACCGTCGTCGCGCCGTTCTATCCTGGCAAGAAGATGGCCAACTGGTGGCTCGTGGTCGGCGAGCCGTCGACTAAGCAGCTGCTCGTCATCAAGCGTGTCACCGTCAACAAGTCTCTGGCCGTCAAGCTTGAGTTCACGCTGCCCAAGGGTTCGCACGATCTCAAGCTGTACGTCATCTGCGATTCGTACGTTGGCGCGGACCACGATCTTAAGGTGGACACCATCGACGTTGCGGAGGGCGAGGACAGCGATAGTGACGAGGATATGGAAAGTGGCTCGGAGATGGAAGAGTGAACGCGGGTACTCCCGTGCTAATCTTGGTGCTTCAATAATTGGACGATAGATTCTATGTCCCTGTCGTTCTGATGCTAGTGACGTGTATCATTATTTTCTTGAAAACTATATTCGCTACTGATAATGTAATGTTCTGCTTTGTTCTGTGTCTGGCTCGCTTTCAAACTCTTCAAATCCTAGCTCCTCGTGACTATACTGTAATGGAGCAGTAGCCCATGCAATGCTCGTAACGTTAACTGTCACAATTTCCGCTGCCAAATCTGCATGCTTCCTGACGTTCAAGATTAAATGAGAACAGAATAGCGAGGTCAAGATTGTGTCAAGGGCCATTCGTAGCTCGTTGGCAAATAAACTCCGAATATAGTCCAGAACCTGGGTATAAAGCCAACGAGACAAATTTATGGGCATACCTTTGTTGATCCGGTTGTTCCAGTCGCGAGAGTCACCAAACATGCAGTGGACCTGAATTCAAAATCATTGATCAGCGATGAATACCTCATAAAGAACAGCCTTACATACACACAAAAGTAGCCCACATTTTCTCGAGCCACGATGTAGAAGAGGCTGTTTGATCGCCACACCGAGAATATGCCTTGACCTGACCCTCTAATGTGTACCCATAGACGAGAAATTGACAAAGACGCAGCGACTAGCTCATAAAAGAGACAGGTTGCCATGAACACTAAAAACGTCCAGGACTCGTTGTTGTAGCGAAATTCGCAAACCAGAACACCGGAGAGGAGCTCAACCTCGATTGGAGCTACCGCACGCGTCACAACATCAGTTTCTTTAGGTTACCACCACATAATTATGAAAAGATTAGCTCACTCTTGCCGCTATCGGTGTACCACGCATTAGGACCTGTGAACGAGACGACAGTGTATATGATGTTACCAGCCTGTGCCAAGATGAAAGAACCACAAAGTAAATATAATGGCACCGTCGATCTCCAGTGAAGCGCGTAAGTTTGGCGTAAGTACGAGCTAATATTACCCCTATATTGGACGTTTGAAGGCACGAATCGCGTTTGACATACACTGAACACACCTTGGGTACTCAGGATTGCGGATGTGCGAAATATCGACGTCGCTGCCCAAAGAATAAAGCCTACGTGTACGATCAATCATGCATCATGTAGGATATAAATTTGTCAAAGGCTTTTTAAACTTACATGGAGTTCTGGAAAGAAACGGATAGCTCAAAACAAGGATACAAGAAGCGAGGTATATACCCACTCCTGTAGTAAATGCTAGGATGAGCATGACCTCCAGTCTTACAGCAGAAATCAAGCAGAAATTCACCTTGTCAACGACTGAGTTGTAGAGATCGTTGACTAGAGCAAAGCTTGAGGCACAAACACAAACACGGATATTTCTAAACCATACCTGCCGAAGCACTACAGATGCAGACGTTGAACGTAGTACAGCTGACCACAAATAGCACTTACATAGCACAAAGGACCCCTCCGTAGCGTTGCTGAGATTAAGAGGTAGTTTTCCAACACAAGTAGTGACTCGAACGCTACTTACTATGATGTAGCACACCGTCATCAAGGTCCATTTTCGGTTCTTTCAAGTGAAGGTTAGATTTATCGCCCGGGATTAGGATTGAATATCTAACCCATATCAACCGAATCTAGAGGAACATGTACTGAATAATGTGCACCGTTCAACGAGAAGTCCAAGTAAAACTTACCTCCTGATCGATTTTGAGCGCTGTATCAGAGATAGTATGAACAAACGAATAATGCCAACTTTCGAGGTTCGTGTAAAGCTCACAGCAGTCGTAAAGAACACACGTAGCCATCGAAACTGACGTATTACACATCAGATGGATATCCCCAGGATGACAGGATAAGATCTGTACCTTTCACATAGCTTTATGTTTCGTATTCTCCAACGGCGGACCAGGAGAGGGGCGAAGCAGTTAGCATGGCTTTCACATTCCGACGTGTACAAACCCACAAACTTATAGCAAATGGACTGGTAAAATTGGGAAGTCCTGTACTCATTCCGTGCTTGACGGCCCCAAGCAGGCATTCCTATGATGCCGGCTCCGATCATGCGGCAATGATCCAGGCATAGCCTAGCCACCTGGTAATTTGCACCGATAAATTGATGATGCGTGATCCGGCTCAGTAATGCCGCACACTTTGGGGGTCCCTTGCCTACTTGTTGGTATTAATTGTGAATGTCTCCGAATGTGGTCGACGCTATAAAAAGTTAGATCGAGTCCGCAGCTACGGGACCCGAAGGATTCCGACGCTAATTCAGAACAATTGGGCAGTTGCAAGAAAGTCCACAGCTTCGACATGGGATTTCGCCTTATTGGTTCATTGGAGTGCTATTTTATTTGCGACTCCAGTTCATCAACCTGAATTTCACGGGCTACTGGTTCACACTACTTAACCTTATCTCACTTGCGACTCTCTTGCAGAGACAATAGCATCACGCGCGCGCAGCTGTATCATGACGAAACACCCTCATCCGTAACCTTTGGATGTGCTCACGGCCGCCTCCCGCCTTATCGCCGTACACACAGCGTCTCTCATACCAAGATGCAGTCCTGAGCGCAACTTTGATATAGACTTAACATCGACACTATATTTGGAGCGACTCTGTCTACATTACTCGAGCGTAGGAGAAGAAATTTTTACACTAGTACTAGGAGCAGAACGATTCAAGAATCAAGCTCACGGACACGTCCGCTTCATTCTTGGCTGTTATGCAGCGGACACAAATCACACATTGTATCCTACCACCGCCTTTGGCTACAGCATTCACAATATCTTGAACTGCAGGGTCATACACCCGACACTGTACGTAAAGCGTCCAATGACAACAAGTCGGTTATCTCAGAGCTCGATTTTATAAATCCCTTTGCAGTGATCTTGAGCAATACTCCGCAGTTCTTCGACGCTCATAGTCGCTACATCCTTACCCTTTAGCTCTCGTTGGAGCGACGCGATCCACAGCCCCAGTCTACAGCATGTGTCGCCCATGTAAAACGGCCCGCGGGGGCCGAACCCGTAGAGACGGGGGAACATGATCGCCAAAAGGACGGCTAGATCGCGTACAACTGCAGCAGAGACATACGAGCCGGGTATGTCAAGGTGTCGCAAGGTCCGATTCTGCAATAATCCTTGACCGGATTTTAAACGTTGCTTGAGAGGAAAACTGCGGAAAGTGGATATCGCACTGAAATTTATCCCAAGGGCACGCAGGTTGGTGCAGATGCTCGTCAGCGCCCATACACCGTCCAAGGTCACTGCGATGCGGGAAAGCTGAGTGGGCGGGTGGTCGCCCAGGAGTCTTAGATGGGTAAGGTGAGGCAACGCCGTTGCTAGCTCGGTGAGATCTGCATCGGCGAGGGCGAGGGGATGAGGTAGCTTTATGGACAGAGCGGTCATCATACAGAGTTGGCGCAGCGGCTCAATGCAATCAAAACCCGTCTGCCGTCCCGTCTGTAGCCGGGAAACGCCTGTGGAAAGGTTATGATCCAGAGTCAGTGCCTGTATCGAAGGGAAGTGTGACACCAAAGTCCTCGTAAGCACGGACACGTCCGCCAGCTCTGTGAGAGAAAAATGTGCATGGTGAAGGCTCAATGGCCTCTGCTGTGGGTGTGAGGACATGGACATGACTGCTGGGGTCGAGATTTCAATAGGGGCTGAGGTTTCAATAGGCAAAAAGACATCCTTCAACATTGGACACTCCGTGGTAATGGACGCCAGGAAGTCGACAGTAATAGGAGTAGGGTTGAAGTGGAGTGTCTCGAGCTTTGGAAAACCCCGCAGGAACTCATACAATTCGCCGGGGGCGATCGAAATCGAAGAGTGTATGCCCAGCCAGAGCAATCGCAGGCTGGTAAGATACATGAGCGGCTTGATCAAATCAGAAGTGTATGTGCAGGGTGGAACGGCGGCAGGCGTATTTAAGATTAGCTCTTCTAATTTGTCTCCACGAGCTTGAGAAAAGAACGAGAAGAACGCTTGTAATTCAGCCTGAGCCAGTACACTGGCCCGTATTTTGAGTACCCGGGGCATCTTGTCCAGCCTTTGTAACAGTGTGGTGGTAGATTCAATGGTGCGAAAGGAGACCTCCAGAAACTCAAGAGCTTGGAACTGTAGTGTGTCATCCTTAGACCCGGATAGTGCATCCCCTGCAAAATCCGTGTTGATCAGCGAAAGACGCCGAAGACACGAAGAGCGCGAGAGGTCGCGGATAGCGTCTGAGCTTATCAATCCCGTGAAACGCAGTGTAGACAGAGAGAAAAGCTTGACCACAGTCAGTGAGACCGCCTCTTTCAGCTCCTTGTCCCGGAAGGGATATAATAGCGCCAGGTCTAGACTCTGTAAAGAAGGGCATCGGTGTACGAGCTCATCTACGAGCTTACGGTCTTCGAGCCCCGTTACAGTCAATGAGGACAGTAAAGGGGGAAGGAACGTCATCTGTCCTTCTGTCGATAGAGCCTCAGCCCCGAGTGTTAGATATCGAAGTCGTGGGAAGCTCCTCTCGAGACTATAAGGAGGGGAAACGAGCTTTAGGAGGGCGGATTCGTATATGGAATGTTCACGATCGAGGTGAAGATTCAAGTCAAGGTAACGTATACGATGGGTGTAACTGAAGAAGCGGGTGTGCTCATTTCGGTTGAGCACCAGGTCAACCTACGGACCAGCCTTGATCAGCGTGCCGTTAGCCACAAAGATTACAGTATAAGCTCACAATTTTGCCGAAATCATTCTTCACAATACCCTCTTCAAGGAGGTTTATCACGCTCCAAATTGATACAGGTTGGAGCTCGCCTGACCACAGCCTGTCAAGTGATGGGTGCAGAAATGTGCTAGAGGTCTGCGCAAGAGCTGCCAGGGTTTCTTGGGACTCGATATGGCTGCATACTTCAAGCCGGAGCTCTGGGACGTCGAAAGCACGGGACATGTAGGAAGATGAAATGGGAAGCGAAAGCGCAAAAAGTGGTTTATCACAGGATTGAAGGAGAAGAGAGGAAAGGAAGATGATAGGAGCGCGAGGAAGAGAGCGTGCGACGTCGAGATTGCCGACGGCGGCAGCAGCGGACGATGCCGTGTCGAGGAGAACACCAACATTCAGCCCCGCGCAACCCTTCCCTTCCCTTGAGTTCTTGTGCCAGCGAGGTATAATCATAATGAACTATTATTCCCTGCAGTCTCACATCCTTTCCTATGTTTACGACATAGCCAAGCTCGAACTCTTCACGCCGGTGACATGACCAAGACCCTCCAAGACCATTCGTAGCAAATACGATCAGGTGAGGTGTTCTACCGTCACTTGAGTGGCAGTGGTTCATCAGACATCAGAATAAGGAGACATTTGGACCAGCCTGGCCAGGCGAAGGACAGGACTCAAGGTGAGGTGAGGCAACTACTTAGCGGTACCTTTCGACTAACGCCCACTTCCTAATCGTGTTGACAGAGCATCATGCGCAGCCATACAGCATCGATATCAGCATGTTGGTCAACGACGGCGACATCGACGACGAGCTCCGTCTCGACTTCAGCACCGATGAGTCCCAAGAGCTCGCTATCCGGAACGTGAAGGGCGACACGAGCACACGAGAGCTCATCACAGAGGCGGAGATCAAGGACACCTAGTGCGCATGCACCCTCTTTCTTTCTCCTTTCCATCCCCGCTAACATGTGTATGCGCTCTGGAATAGCTGCTCAGCCAAGTTTGACACGGTGCAGTACGGCACGTACAACGGCCGCCCCGCCTGCCTCATCATCATGACCTACATCTTCCACGCCTCCAATCCATCCGTGCACCGCTTCCGGCGAGCGACAATCGAGATCAAGTTCACCCTCCCGCCGAACCCAGCTAAGCCACGTGCGAAGCCGCGCCCCGTCGAGATCCTGTCGTACGCGCCAGAGAAGGCGTACGGCATGCTCTCGTTCTCCAAGGTCACCTACAAGCGCCAGCTGTCCGTGCCAATCAGCATCGGGAACTCGCTCATCTCGGCGAGTGTAACGCCCAAGATGTCGAGGGAGGAGGAGGCGATGAAGGGGAGCAGGCTCGTGATGGAGGCTAGCGAGCGTGGGCAGCCGCCGTCGAGGATTGTGTGGTCGGTCGTGGAGAATGAGCATAGTCCGGATGGGCTGGTCGGTATTCCGAGCAGAAGTGCGTGTTTCTTCTGCAGGAGGAAATATGTGCTCATCTTTGTCACCAGTCCGAACGGCCGTCATCGTTGGGCTCAAGCCAGGGGAAGACAAGTTCCAGGCTAGGTTCCGAGTGGAGACGTCCGTCGGATGGACGGTCGACCCACGGCGTTGGCCTCTCCTGACTAGACGCGACGATCCGGTATGGTTTGACACGACCAAGTCACTCATGCGGAGCCATGCACAGCTTGGGCCCACATTCGACGAGCTAGATCTCGCCATGATGCTGGAACAAGGTCAGATCGGTGGACGCATAGAGCCAGTCAAGACATGGGTCTGTGCGTGAAAACGCGAGCTGGAAAGTGGAGGTCTGCATTGCATACTTGAACATGATTATTACAAATTAATATAAGTGTTTAACTTTAGTCTAGTATCGCTGGTGGAGCGTGGAGGAAGGTGGTGAAGGTAACTGAGGTGAATGAGAGGAGAGGAAGATCTGGCAAAGGTTCATACAATCGTTTGTGACGGCTTCACGGGCCCCGGCTATGGTGATACGTGAACAGCATGCGAAGGCTAGCAGCAATGTCACTCACACTTATGCTTTGAGCTCCACGCGTTTACCCGCGCACCACACAGCCTCGACGTTCTTTACAGCCTTGATGTCCTCCAGCGGGTTCCCTCTGACCATGAGCAAGTCAGCACGCAAGCTAGGTTGGATCGCACCGCGATCGTTCAGCTCAAAGTGCTCAGCCACAAGTGCGGTCACAGAACGAAGCGCCTCGAGGGTCGACAAACCAGCATCAACAAGTAGCTCGAGCTCACGCGACAAGCTCTCGCCATGGGCGTTGTGCTCGTGCATACCCTCCATATACAACGAGTCCGTCCCACCTACGATGGGCACGCATGCCGCATGCAGCGCCCGTACGCTCTCGAGTGCATACTCGTACTTGAGCTTCCCCTCGGACGTCTGTGCGAACAGCTGCATGCCCGATAGCGTCGGCACCGCGACGCGCCCGCCCTCCTTCATCCGGCGCGCCTCCGCGAGCGTGAGCGGCACGTCGACGGGCACGTGCGTGAGGATGGGCACGCCCCCGTCCTACGCGAGCGCGTACGCCTCAGCCTGGATCGCGTGCGCGATGCATAGTTTGCCGTGCGCCTTCGCGGAGCGCGCGAGGGCCGTCATAAGCTCGCGGCTCTGCCCTGGGACTTCGGCGATGATCTTGATGTAGTCCGAGCCCTGAGCGATGCGCTGCTGCACGGCCGCGGCATCTGCGACGAAGCAGTCGGGCGGCATCTGTTTTTGGAGCGTGTTTGGGGATGCGCAGACTATGAGGGCGGAGCGGAAGTCGGCGATGGCTGTCCCTGAAGAGGGTAGGATACGAAGAGGGTCGATGGCAGGAGGGAAGGAGCCCATGTCAAGCGCGGTGGTGATGCCGTAAGGAGCGAACGCTTCGAGCTCAGATTGCTTGAAGATGTGGACATGTGCGTCGATGAGGCCGGGAAGGAGTGTCAGACCCGTCCCGTCGACGATGGTGACGTCAGAGTCGGAGGGCTGTGAAGAAGGGGAGTAGAGCTCTTTGATGATTGCGCCGTCGATGAGGACGGAATGAGGGGCAGTAAGAGTTTGTCCATCGAAGACGCGGACATTAGTGATGAGGGTTTTGAAGGACATGTTGGGTGGTTGAGAGGATAGGGGACTTGGTGTCTTGCTTAACTTCGTTTTTATGGTAGGAGTTGAGACTGTGTCGACGTAGTGGTGCGTATGGCTGCTTCATCTGGACTTGACAGGCCAAGGGTAATCGGGGAAGATGCTGGCAAGATTGTACCATGTTTACAAGATGGGCGGTAGAATATTCGCCGACAACCCCTGACAACCGTGTTGTTCAGACATACCAGCCAGAAAGCTGGCATCGCCATGTACACATCACAGGTTACGCTTTGAGCGACGCAGACGAACGGCTTGCATCCGAAGCATACAGTTCAATGCAGCTGACCATCAGCACTTCACGCCGAGACGCAAAGGCGCAATCAGGGAAATGCAGATGCTGTACTCACTCGATGCTTGCGTCGGCCACCGGCAGCCTCTCCAACACGACTCGAGTAGTGTCTAGTGTAAGGGGCGCATGGCGCCTACGCATGGACACTTGCTTTGATCAAGATCTATTGTCTCGCTTTTGTCTCGCTTTTGTCCGCTTAGAGTACAATGCTTTCCGATTGCATAAATACCTTGCGTGTATCGTAGCTGTTAGTCGTCGAATTGGCACCCGACCACCTTCCTGTTCAGCCATGGCACTCTGCCTTTGATCCCCTTCGAACTCGTATTCTCTTTGTCCAGCCACTCAAAGGCTCGGCTACCCTACACTAGTAGCTGCCAAAAAATATCCTCAGCATCCCCTCTCAGCTGCATTTCCGAGGTTTCTGACACCTTTGACGTTGCCATACGATTTTTGCACCTGGAGGCTGCATCAGATCTCACTGAGACGGGTTGGAACGAAGGAACGTTGCGAGGCGGCCCGACGTCCGCGTCAGTGAACGGCAGTAGATATTGGAACTCCGCTGCCGTCATGCACCTCGAACTGGACACTGCAGACAAACGGCGATTTTACCCGGGACGAAACCGAGAGAAAGAGGCGGCGAGATGAAAGCCTTTTCCTCCAAGTTTTGAAACCCCCTTTTGCACAGGAAAAGGTATTCTTTTAGCCGACATTTGCGTCAATTTTGCGCTGGTAAAATGGACGGGTTACCGAATTTGGACTTTACCTTCCCGATTTGGATGTATTTCTATCTACTGATGTTTGCATTCGGCCTTGCCGACGCAAAATTAAAAATCGAAAAATACCGACTATGGCAGTAAGCCATAAAAATCAGTTTTTAACAATGATAAAGCACAAAAAACCTCAACTTCTCTACCGTAGGTCCCCTTGCACATCATTTGGATGTGTATCGCAGGTTTCACAAATGCCCGCCCTACACTATGGTGTCCAAGACTGAAACGACGCGTCGAGAAGTGTGCAGGCGTAGGTCATTGCCGGACCTGCAAATAGGCTTGGTGTGCGCACATTTGGTGCACCTGTGGAGCATCTATTTTTATTTTTATTTTTCGTGTTGGCAAGGCTGAACGCAAACGTCAGTAATGTCCTCCCAGAAATACAAACTCCGAAGCAAAAGATTAACTTTTCAGCAACTTTTCGCACAGAAAAAGATGGGTGAAAAAGGCTTTCGTCTGTCCGCCTTCTTCAATCAAATTTTGTAACAGAAAAATCACAGTTTGTCTGCAGTGGGAGTCAGTCGGATTTTGTACACTCACTGAGCTTTATTGACACTCGTGTGTTGTCGTTTTTTTTACCTGATAGCGTTTTCTACAAGAAAAATGCAATATAACTTACAGATCTATCGATTTGAAGCCTGGTACAGAACACAATGCATCCCTAGAACCCAAACAACCATCCGCGTCTAACGACGAACAATCAACGACAGCCACAGCGCTCGCTAGGACTAGTCTAGAAGGCAATTCGGTTGTCAGTCCGACAGAGCCTCAGTTTCAAACAAAAGATCAAGATCACACCTTCGACGGGAGGTGTTGGTCCTTTGATGCCCAACTCCTCCGCAAGGATCTGCAGCGCCTACACCAAGCAAACGAGTAAGCCAGAGAGGCTCCGCTTGCTATAAACCACACTCACCAAAGTCTTGCTGTAGTACCTCGCGTTGTACAACGGTCCCGCAAAGAACCACAATCCGGGTTGCCCCGTCGGGCGGGCGATGCGACGCAATTCGCCAACGGAGTCTACACCCCAAATGCGGTTCCCTATCTTCTCGGTGATGGATGAACCCAAGAGAGCGACGGCACCGTCTATCATAGGCACATTGCCAGTTCTAGTTATTTAAGTGAGTTGCATGGACACGAGTAGTGAAGACGTGCCCTTACGCGAAAACAACGACATCGGCTGCAAGTTTGGTTCCATCTTCGAGAACCAAGCCATCTTCCTCAAAGCGAGAAATACCGGATCCAGATTTCACCTGAGTAAATTGATCAGACTCAGTAGATAATATTTGCAAAGCAGTACGGGAGCGTACCTTGACCTTGTCTTGGATGATGAGCTTACAGAACCCAGTGTCGAGCACTGGATAAGAGCGCGAAAGAAGTCAGGAAGGAACGTCTGGAACACGAAGACATGTACATACAAGTTCCACTCCCCACGTTTCCGTTAATAAAGCCAGGAATACCCGCCGTTATACCGTTGTACGTCCATGTGAGGCGGAAGCCCTTGCTCGTCAGCCCAGCGTGCAGCTCGGTGTCATTCCTCTTGTGAGCTTCGAGACCGCCGGACTCCATGGCCCGTATGACCATTATCGGTGACATGGCGTTAGCGACGTGATCCGATATCTCGATGTCTCGGTCTTCGGGGAACGCCTTGATGTAATTGGCGCCTGTCGAGTTGGTCGAGTGGACGCAGGTGGCACTTCGCTGAACCATGGTGACCTGGAACGAAGATCAGTCGGTCGAACAGATGATACTACCCTGATATAAGTTGTAGTACCTCAGCGCCTGAGCGGAACAAGTCGTGACTGACATCTGCAGCGGCATTGCCCTGAGGAAACACTGGTAAGACACTGAAATCCACGACAGCGTATGATAACCGCTTACAGCTCCGACGACGACCGCACGCTTCCCCTTCCACTTGCTAGCACCTTTGTGGAAGTCCGAGTGGTAATGTTCACCCTTGAACGTGTCCATACCCGGCCATTTCGGAATATTCGGTGTTCCCCACCCCGTGCAGAGGATGAGATGCTTAGGGTTCAGCGTAACGGTGTTACCGGCACGGTTGATGGCAACGGTCCAACGTCTCGTCGCATCATCATACGACGGCGCAGGTGACGACAAGACCGTCGAGGACGTCCAGACGTGGAGCTCTTGGAGCGCAGCGTACGACTCCATAAAGTTGGCGAGTCGTGTACGGCCGATGTACTGAGGATAGTTTTTCCTTGGCTTCAGGTAAACTTCGACAGAAAGCAGGAGTAAAGTGTGAAACATACGGCCAAGGCTGGTACACAACTGGTATCGCATCCTGATGTCAGCGAGAAGCAATTTGCATCCGACAAATGGGCACATACAAGAGCTCAGGTTCGCAGGCAGATGGAGCGATAGTGTAGGATAGCTATAGTAGTGTAGTTTAGGGATGGCACTTGGTGATGAATCACAGCATGACGCACCGGTTTCTCCATACATCTCCAACGCGGGGAGTCTTCTCGATGATCAAGACACGCAAGCCCATCCTCCGACAACGTGCGGCAAGCATAAGTCCATTGTGTCCCGCACCAACTAGCCACAGTCAGCTTACACTCGGGCGATCTCGAACGCGAAGGACGCACCTATTAAAACGGTCGGATCGCGCTCAATAGCCTCTTCCTCCTTCTCTCGATTCTCCTCCCACGTCGCCATAAGCTCCGGATCCTCCGGTATCCCGCGCGGCCGCTCCGTCGGCTCCTCGTGCCCAGCAAGATCGTGTAGTGAGAATGAAACCGAGCTCGCCTTCCCCCCTCCCTCTGAACCAAACGGCACGAGCTTGACCCATCCTCGTCCGCATGCGTTTGGCGAGCGGAGCGAGAACCGGAACGCCGCCTGAACGCCGCACGCGGATGCGTCCGGAGGGAGCGGGAACGTCGGTGGGACGCCCTTCATGAGCGCTTCATCGAGCACGATGTCGTGGAGCCCAGCGGATGCGAGTCTGCGGGTGCCGTCGACGTCGTCCGCGAGGAACGCTGCAATCTTGTCCCTGCCAGAGATGGATCGGAAGTCCCAGGAGAAGCAAAGGAGGTCTAGCAGGGAGTGTTCTTGACGTTAGGGAAATGCATATACTCAGAACATGGGGCCGTACCTCGGAACCAGCCTTCTGGCGTGAAAAGGTCAATAAACAGACTGACGTCTCCTGCAATAGAGGCATGTTCAAGGCCAGCAAGCCAGGCTCTTGCGATATCGAACGCTTGTGTGCTGGACGACGGGTCAACCATGGTAAAAGGATGGAGTACACGCGCAAGGCCCGAGTCTGGGGATAACGGCCAAAAAGTAGGACACGTCAGGCGTTTATACTGAACAAAACTGAAGCAGACATACCTAACGGAGCATCTCGCTCAGAGCGGACGATAGAGGTGGTCGGAAACTTCTAAACGGGGTTTATCGCGGTGGGGCAGGACCCACGGCATTCTAGCAGTCTTGCCGCGCACGGCTAGTCTTTGAAGGGAGGAGGATGCTGTTCGACTATTGCTTGACTGTGATGAGCAACCCGAGACTCTATCTCAGCCGCCCGATACAAATCTTGTGTGCTTGTCCACTCATCTGTGTATGTCAGAAGAGGTCGTAAGTCAGGGGCTCGACAACAAATAGCGGAGCATAAATCGGAGAATGAACCCTAAAATCGCGTGTTGCTCCTAGCCTTGCGCCATGGTCAGTTTTCTCGAGTTCTTTCGGCGTATTCATGTGGAACCTCCGAATTTTATATGTTTCTTTGAAGACCCCATGTTATATTATGGTTCGTACAAACAGCAGTGGTTAAAGGATCCACGTAAGCGTCCGCCATATGTTATTCAACTCTAGTCGGGACACTACTGTAGCAAATCGACCATAAGTTCCCGGTGGCGTGAGAGACCTGAGTTTAAACCCGCCTTCCTAAACGGTATGTCCCGCAATTTAGTTCCCGATGGTCGGTAATGGTGGGACAAGGTTCCCGGGCCGGGACAAATCCGGGCCGTGTCCCATGTTCCTGGCTATTCAGTAAGATACGCACGATTCCGCGAGGGCGGCTCGAAAGCTAAACGCCTTTAATTTCGGCAACCTCGGCGACGCATCATGTCGTTCACTGCTCCCAACTGCTCCCTATCGCTTTCCTATCTCCATGCAAAGGTATGTTTCCCTCGGACTACGTATGTTGCATCCTTTCGTTTGTTACTGATTTTCTATTTCTTTACAGCGGCGGTCGGCCTTGCAGCAATCTCGCTGCAAGCCTCATGTCCCCCTCACCTCTCTTCGATCTGCGGGTGCGGGCTGGAGGTGTTGTCGGCCAAGTGCTGGCCAAGTGCTGACCGGTGACCTTCAGAAACTGTATAAAAGTGTGAGTCTTTTTGCCCTCTCTCGACAGGAATCTAATCACTCTTTCCTATCATTCGCTCACCCGCCCTCTCGCTTTATCATAGACATAAGCTTTATTTCTCTCAATCGCTCTACACTCCCGTCGCTAATTAATCTTCATCATCATCCTTCGACCCTCCTCTCCATGGCCCAATTTGACAACACCAACTTCGAAGACACGATCAGGCTGCCCAACGAAGCTGCAAGCTTCGTTGTCCCATTCGGCGCCTCACTTTTCGACCTCGTCACTGGCACCATGCCCACTATGGGCATCTCTTCTCTCACAGAGCAGGAGGTGCTCTCCTTGCACCCTCCCCAGTCCACCCCTTTTGATTACCGTTCGATCCCTGTCCCCGCCTTCGCCAAACGTCTTGACGAGTCCACGCTCCAGTCTTTCTGGGAGCGCGGATTTCGTAGCTTCCGTGTTGACGACCGCGGCCACGAGGTCTTTGCACCTTTCTGGCTCGGACGCTGGTGGTACATCAACGCTGTTGGCGGTAGATCAAAGGGGAAGTGGGCTAGCGCCTGGGCTTGGGTTCTCGTCAACATCATCAACGCGCCCATACCGCCTGCCTTTTCTCATGTTCCACGCGCCGTCAACACGTTCTTTCGAACAGTTGCATGGGATGCGCGAATCGGCGGCGTTCCAGTCGCTGACCTTGCTGACCTCTTCTCTGACAACTATCTCCCTGGTTCCCTCATCGATCATCTTCTACGCATGATTCACGACTGGGCGGATCATTTCCCAGTTCGGCGCCAGCTCCTTGTCGACACCTTAGATTTTCAAGTCCCTTTCATTTTCCCCATCTCCGAGACTGTTTCATGGGATTCCTTCGACACCCCCGAC